GACGAACGAATGTGAGCCGCCATAGATGACAGGTGTGAAGTTAATTATCCGATTGAGCTGATTTTAGCCCTAATTCATTAATTTAATCAAAGATTAAAATAACAACTCTCGTTTGCCTTCGTTTGCATCGCAGCTGACGGGGTTGGTGAAATAGGAATCCCACCCATGCCTTCGTTTGCATCGCAGCTGACGGGGTTGGTGAAATAGGAATCCCACCCATATATCTCTCCTCTTTCTTAGAGTCTTAGATCTCTCATTCAGATCAAAACCTTACACCAACTTTCATCCATGGCTTCCATCTCCAACCTCTCTACTCCGGCAACCCCTCTAAAGTCTTCCCCGTTGCTTACAAAACCACCCACCGTCTCCGTCTCTATTGGGTTTCCTTCAAAGCTTGCACTTTCATCATCCAGGTTGTCTCTTCGCTCCAACGCCCCTCTAGCCGCCTCCTTGCTGTAAGTTTTCTCTGTTTACCTTTATTCGTGTTTACATCTTTCCCAATTTGCTAATCTATCCGAGTTTCACTCTACAAAATCTGTTTGTGATAATTTACTAGCGATTTGCCTCCCTCTCTTCTTACTTTCAATTTACGCGATGTGATGTTGAACTTGTTCTTGATCAAGGTTTTTTTGCTGGATTTATGTTCTTAGCATATGTAATTACTCTCGATCATCAAACATCCATCTGGTAATCTGGAATTTAAACAATCTTCCTTCAAATCAACTCAAATTTCAGCCATGTCCTAAAAGATTCAACCTTTTATGCGGTCCAATGATTTCCCATATTCTTTTAGGGTTTCTCCATAATTTCACATATCCTTTTCATGGTTTTGCAAGTTTTTTCTTGTATGCATGTCTCTTTAGGCTTTCTCCATATCTTGCAATTACGATTGACTTCGATCCTGTCTCTTACTCGTTCATTGAAAGCTTCGTATACTTCTTCCCGACCTAATTCTGTTTTTTTTTTTTTTTTATAAAGTGTGAAATGTAGCCAAGTTGGTGGAAATGGAACCCCTGTGAAGCAAACAACTCTTCACGATCTCTATCAAAAGCAAGGCCAGAGTCCATGGTACGACAACCTATGCCGCCCTGTTACTGATCTTCTCCCCCTGATCGAAAGTGGTGTTAGAGGTGTTACAAGCAACCCAGCGGTAATTTCACCATTACTTCTGTATAAACATTCCTTTATATAAATCAAAATTTGTAATGAGTCGTTTTGATACATGATTGCAGATATTCCAAAAAGCGATATCAACCTCAAATGCTTACAATGATCAGTTCAAGGAACTAGTACAGGGAGGGAAAGACATTGAAAGTGCATATTGGGAACTTGTTGTGAAAGACATCCAAGATGCTTGCAGACTATTTGAGTCAATCTATGATGAAACAGATGGAGGTGATGGTTATGTATCAGTTGAGGTTTCACCACAACTAGCTGATGACACCAAAGGGACAGTAGATGCTGCAAAATGGTTGCACAAAGTGGTTGATCGCCCAAATGTATACATCAAAATCCCCGCAACAGCTGCATGTGTTCCTTCGATAAAAGACGTTATTGCCCTTGGAATTAGTGTCAACGTAACTGTAAGTTCATCCTTTATATATTCTCTAATCTAAACGTGTATTTCTTGCTTACTAATCCCTTTTTTATTATGATTTGTCACAGCTTATTTTCTCACTATCTAGATATGAGGCAGTGATTGATGCTTATTTGGATGGGTTAGAGGCTTCTGGCTTAGATGACTTATCTAGGGTTACAAGTGTTGCATCTTTCTTTGTTAGTCGAGTGGATACACTTGTTGACAAGATGCTTGAGAAAATTGGGACACCAGAGGCACTTGACCTTCGAGGAAAGGTAAAAAGATCAAATCTTTTTAAGTGGGTATCTGAAAATAATGAAATATACCTTAGAAAGATCTTTGTTTGACTTTGACCGCGTTGACTTTTTTACAGGCTGCAAATGCTCAAGCAGCTTTAGCTTTCCAGCTTTACCAGAAGAAATTCTCTGGTCCAAGATGGGAGGCACTTGTGAAGAAAGGTGCTAAGAAGCAAAGATTGCTATGGGCTTCAACCAGTGTCAAGAATCCAGCATACCCTGACACCCTTTATGTAGCACCTCTTGTGGGACCCGACACTGTAAGCCATTTGAATCTTTTCTTTCATCTTTTTGATTGTTGATGGGTATGATTTGATATGTTGTGTTTTAGGTGTCAACTATGCCTGATCAAGCTTTGCAAGCATTCATTGACCATGGTGTTGTTGGAAGGACAATTGATGCGAATGTATCAGAGGCTGAAGGGATTTACAGTGCACTTGAGAAGTTGGGAATAGACTGGAGCTTTGTTGGGAATCAATTGGAACTTGAAGGAGTGGATTCGTTCAAGAAAGCCTTTGTGAGTTTGCTTGATAGTCTTCAAGAAAAGGCCAACTCTCTGAAACTAGTCAGCCTGTAGACACTTACTTCTATATGTGTTTTCCAGTATTTGATTTGTGTCAACAGACCTCAAAAATAATAAAGAGAGTGGCCGTTTTGGTGCTCTGTAAAATACCATGTTTGTGGGGTGGTTGGTTGTGTAATGGGAGTTTTGAGTGTAGTAGTGAAATGAAAATGATGAATGGTTTTGGGTTTTATATTGCTTTACCTTATCTTTAACTTCACTGGTTGTGTGGTGGTTCTTGTTCTTGGAGATGTGTTTCTATCCATTCTTTGTTTGGATGGATCTCTATCCAATGCATTAGGACAAACTTGGAGGGAGAGTTGTAAATCACTTTTCAGGTTTGTAAAAACAAAAATTGTGGGATAAATTCTTTCAAACATTAACACAATTAATAGATGTAAGGAATGACAAAAACATACTTTAATCTAGAGTGATACGCTAAATGGCTGTTTCATTTTCTTTTTTGGATAATGAGGGTAAAACTCATCCAGGTCAAATTTGTTGGCCTAATAGAGAAAACATTTAAAAATAAAAAAATAAAAAAATTCTAGAGTCATCCGCTATAATGAGTCACCTTTGTATGATGAGTTTATTATCTTAAGCAAGCGGCATTGGATTAAGGTGGTGAAAATACGGTGTACTGATAATCAAATTTTTGTATAACTGAAGGGTCGTGTAGTAATTTTATTAAGATTTATTATTTTATTTAACCCTATCAATGAGTTAAAGCTAGATTTTTTGGAAGATAATTCAAGATTGGACATCTAAGTCTTGGCCAAGTTTGTATGGGGATTGTATGGCGAAAATGGCAATAATAATGCCCTATTATTATAACGTTGATCCACTTCGAACCATATCAATACATCTTGTTTTTTAGAACGACAATATATTAAAATAAAAACCATGGCCAGCAGGATGCTGGATAATACAAAGAGATAACAGAAAAAATAAGAAAATACAAGAAAAACAACATCAAATAACTCCAAGGAGAACAACAAATTATAAGCCCCATATGAGATGTCAGGAACATCAAACCGTTAAACATCTCTTGCTGTCTTTATACATTGTAAATATGTAGCAGTAAACCAAATTTAATATGCAAGAAAACATTGGACATTTTTGCAAACTCCATTTTGTAAATGGATGTCCAAGCAATAAAATCCCCACTTTACAATAATATCATAAACAAGTCCTAATTTATAATTTATAATATATCATCAAACAATAAACAATGAATCCCAATACGACAATAAGTCTGGTACAAAATAATAAACCATGAACACTACTTCTACCAACGATATATTAAAGAATAAAAAAAATTATTTATTTGATATTAAATAAAAGATTGTAAGATTGAAATACTCAATTGTCATTTGACTTCAAAGTTGGAATATGCTGAAAACAATAAAGATAAAACACTAACAAATATTGTTCCACAGATCTTTATCCTAAATATTTAATAGATTGGAGATTTGGACCTCCAGGTCCTAAAGCAAACCAGTAAACCCAAAAAATCCTCCAACAAAACTCTTGAATCAAAAAAGATAAATATTATAACAAAGCTACAACTTTCAAACAGAAAAATACCAGTTGAGACCCCAAAGCAAATGTCGAACACCAACTCACATAAACAAATAGCTAATTAATAATGCTACAGTCGAAAAGATAAATACGGTAATACCTGGGAAACATTGTACCAATTTCAAAAAGAAGATTACGACTACGAGAGGAGAGGTGATGACAACCGATTTAGAGAAGAAAGTCGACTTCTACAACAATATTTTTTCTAGCTTGGATTGTAAGAAGAAAGATAAATAGAAAAATTACTATAGAAATTAGGGATTACTGAAACATCCCAAAACCACGATAAAATTTTACATTTTTAATTTAAAGGAAATCATTGTTTTCAAGCAACCCCATATCAAAATCAAGTATCAGAATACAAATATTCCCAAGATCAATGTATCATAAATCTCTAAAAGCATAACACCAAAGGATGTATATGATCATGCCTTCGCCTTGCTCCGATCATCTGAAGTACCTGAAACATAAACTTAAACCGTACGTCAAATCTTAGTGAGTTCCCCCAAAGTACCACACACAACCATAAAAATAACAACACACATACATGAGCCTTCAGCCTGACTGGACCACCACGTCGGGCCTACAACCTATCTGGACCACTCTCAGAGCCTTTAGCATGACTGGACCACTGCGCCGGGCCTACAACCTATCTGGACCGCTCTCCGGGCCTTCAGCCTGACTGGACCGTCTCACAGGCCTTCAGTCTATCCGGACCATCCTAGGTAGCTTGGCCTTCAACATAAAAAAGGACCACCTCAACCCAACCGACCATAATATATCAACATATATATCATAACAATCATTATCCAACAAATACAGCTAGTCCTACAGATCTACCAGTCTAACACATATCAATAATCATCAGATAATCATACGGATCTACCGCATACTCACGTTAACATATATCAATATACCAAAATATCAAATCTAGAGGGCCGACCTTGGTACCTTCGACCCACAAGTACAATGAGGAAACCTCACATCTCAGTCTGAAAAGATCGATGAACAGGACACAACTTCGAATATCAGCTCAACCGATCACCTATTCATTTGGAACATGAACAATCTTAACTTATAATAAAAAATACCTAAAATACCCTTAGGTCAAAATTGGTCAAACCCTGGTCAAAGTCAAAAGTGAACCGAGACAACCCAACTGAGTACGTTGGGCATACTCAGCCTGTACGCGGGGGTTTCACTGTGTACGCGCAACGTACCACTTGGTACGCCCAACGTACGCGTCTGGCTCCTTTTCCATCTCATTAAGAGCTTAATGCTTAAGCCCTTAGGTCAAAATTGCAGATTTAGGCCCCAAATGTTGTCCTTGACCATAAAGTTTCCAACTTTATGGTCTTGCATGGCCATTAAGTGCTAAATACCAAAAACCCTAACCTCTTAACCTATTAAGACATCCAAACTCATGCAAGGAAGGGAAATAATGACCAATACCACATTTTATGCATCTAAACACCCTAAAACGTCTGAAAGGACAACTTAAATGGATTGGAGTAGCTCATACTTAAAATACCAAACCAATAGGACCAAAAGAACATAAACTTCATTGCCAAACTAGATCTAAGCATAAATTCATCAAGTTTAGAGCTTTTTTACCTTCAAAGAGTGTCCAAAGATGATGTGATTTTGGATCCAATATGCTTCAGACTTCTAGGATGATCTCCGCTTCTTCCTTCCTCCTTCAAGTTCACCAAAACACACACCAAGCTCAAAATGGGCTCAAAAGGGATTAGGGGTTTGCTAGGGGATCGAAATGGGGCCGAAGGCTGATGAAAGGAAGGAGACTTGAGACATAAGGATGTTTAAATAGGTTCCAAACCCAAAAAAATTAGGGTTTGGGATCCTTTCACATACGCCATGCGTACACTATGTAGGCCCAGCGTACGTTCCCCTCGCTCAAAATTACTATAATGCCACTATGGGCCATTTTGCAATAGTCTTCACACATAAGGGCTAAAATGCAATAAATGTTCATACTTAGGGTTAAAAATGGGAATACCTCAATACCAAGATGTTACAATTACCGATTATATATAGGTATAAATTTTGAACCCCTTTGTGTACAGGTAAAGGGGTCAATTTTTACTTTAGCCCTGGACTTTTTATCTTTCTGGGATTTGTCGAATTTAATACTTGGTCAAATTATTTTTACAACGTGCTCTATGGCTGGTCAGTTATGTCTGGTGGGAATTCCTCATCTAATCCCACCCCCTGATCCCACCATTTTTGTTTATATATGTGGCACGTCCTTAGTGACCAATCGACACGTTTCAGCTACGTGTACCTTTCCACCGCCTTACTATTCCTTCATGGTAATAAATAACGAGTCTTTCAAGAAAAACCTAGCCCTCTACCTTCTCTCTTCCATTTTGTCTCCACCCATCACCGCTCCCAACGCCAATCCTTTTCTTCCACTTCGATGGTGTGTTCATCGTCTTCAGCCTATACCGCTACCAACAAGCCACTGCTAGTGCATCGCCTGCGACACACCCCAATTACCACCATCGACCTTACCATCATGGACCACCGCCATGTTCGACACCGGAAGATCACATATGTTTATTTTCATGCGCTGCCTTTCGTCTTCCTTCAAAGCTTCTAGAATGGGCCAAAGAAAGAAATCAAAGAGGAAACATTAGGTCGTTTTGGTTCGTAATTTCTTACAAATTAAAGGCATAGAGGTAGAATTTTTTTCTTTTTTTGTTTGATTTTCATATGACGATCACAGTTGTTTAGATTTCATGCTTCTCTGTCGACTTGATTGTGCGATTACTTACTACCAGTTGAAGCTTGACTGATTGAAGATCTGTAATCAGTTTAGATAAAGGACTTGAACCCCATTTTCATTTATTATTATTATTATCTTTTTATTTTCAAAGATTTTTCAATTTTCCATTGTCCCAGTTATTACATCTCTTTTCTCCCAGTTCTACAATTTGATCGTTAGGGTTTCGTGGCAGGCGGTAGGATAGGATGATTGATGTTTTGCTTTGGCGAGTTTGGTTTTTGTATGAAGGTTTGTATCGATCGAATACACTTGAAGTATGATAAACAAGAAGAAACTAAATTAAGCAAATAAAGAACAGAAAAAGTAAAGAACATGAAGAATTCTCTAAATTGTTTTTCACCAAGAAAACAGGTTGTCACAAAGACGGTCACCAAGATGTTAACATTAGGTTTTCACCCTAATGTTGAATATATATTAATATATACAAGTATATCCCTTCAATCAATGGATTTTATCTAATGTTTACTAAGAACCGATCTCATCACAAAGATATTGGACATGCTATCTATTCTATACATATTTGTATCATTACTTAACATACAAAGATTACATTAGAGTATATAACTATACGCTGATGTTGATAAAACTTGAGGCGCTGACGTTGATGGTGATGTTGACGTTGGCGTTAGGGCTAGTGGTCAATGTGTAATGTGTTTGACTCATCAGATCATAAAGTGAAGATCTAGAAGTTGTGTATCCTTCTCCTCAGTTTTGGACCTTTGTAAGTATCAAAGATCTCTACTTTATTGATTTCCATGCATATATCTAGGACTGGAAGGTGTATAAGTTGTCTTTTGGTCCCTTGAATTGTGATTTCTTGGAGTTTGGGAACTCTAGGGGGGAT